GAAAAACAACAACAACAACAACAAAACACACACACACACACACACACACACACACACATACACACACACACACACACACGCAGTGTGTAGTTTATAGCTTTATTCCCGGCACCCAGGAGTATCTCCAAGTTTGAGGCCAGTCTGGTCTACAAAGTGAGTTCCAGGAAAGCCAGAGCCCCACAGAGAAACCCTGTCTCAAAAAAACAAAATAAAAAACAAACAAACTAAAAACTATAGGTCTTCTCTTCCCTGGGGGACTGTTGGCCCATGAGAGCAGGAGGAGCAGAGGTAGGGCACAGGGTTCAGAAGGCCATGAATACATGAGTACAACGGAATAGCCTCTCAAGAACCACTTAAGTAAGTCAGTTCAACATTATTTGGGGTGAACAAAGATTTTACAGTCCTTGGGGAGCAGGTAGGGGCTCCCAGGATAGCTGTACATAATTGTTTGGAACTAGGAATTCTAAAGATGTTTGACTTGTATTTGGCAGCACGCTCCTATCACATGAACAGAAACATAGTACCTAATTATCCCATAGGCGCAGGGAAGGAAGAGCTAACAGGGAACTCTGCAAAAGATATGACCAGAGGCATCTATGCCTAAAGACACTCTCTAGATGAGGTCAGGCAGAGAGTAGGAGGCCCTGCTGGAGAGAGGGACTCCTTCATCTAGCGCCCAGCTCAGAAAGGCTATCGGGACTGGGAGGACTGTAACCTTCAACAGCAGGGTCCTCCAACAATCAACAACCAAACAATACTAATAATACCTAACAATCCTTATCTTTATTCCTCTCATTCTCATTTTCTCTCCCTCCCCTGCCTCTGCCTATATATGGCTCTTAGCATGGCCTTTCAAGGAAAAGAAGATTAAAATGCTCCATTTCATGATTCTAAAAACCTGTCAATAGCATGATATTTACACCATAATAGATCTTTCTAAAAGGCAGACTAGATAGCCAGAGGGCTTTAAAAAGTCCTGTGTCCTAGATTCCTAGCCATTCCTTAATTATGGAATGGGGTTATAACAAGTTCATCTTCTGGGGTAAAGTCTATCCCTAATACCACCGTATCATGGCGAAGCAGATCAATAGCTAAGATCCTAGAGAATCTGGCATTCTAACTGAAGAAACAGAAGTTACACTAGGTCCTGGGGAAAGGGCTCTGGAAAAGGCTTCCTGTAGACAGGGACAGGAATGCAAGACAAGGAATCCTGTCAACTGTGAAGCTTGTCCAAGACTCTCAATGATACAGATGTAGGGCAAGCCATTGGTATGACATGGACCAGAGAGAGAGTGGCAAGTGCAGGTATTTCCTGGAAGTAGAGGAAGTATGGTCAGGCAGAGCCAGGAAGAAAATTTGGTAGGGGAAGCCCAGCCACATTCTGAAGATAGGTAACCTAGGGCAAGGTTACTGACTGGGCTGACTGAAATAAGAACAAGAGCCTGGACATCAACCTCCATGATGATTCCAGCACTGAAAAGCCTCTGTTTCTTATCTCTTTCCCTCCTCACATTTTTCTCCTGGAGAGCAAGGGCTGAGGACCGAGGAGAACATAGTCTCAAAACACTTCTTACAAAGTATTCTGATGGTGGGCTCCAATTCCAGGGGATAAAGATTTTTGAGAGACCCAAGTCTTAGGGAGAGCTTATAAAGAAGAAGTCAAAGCTCAGACATGAATCAAAATATTCCTAAGATATTCTAGTGTTCCGAGCTGAGGATGTAGCTCGGTTGGTAGCAAGCTTAGTCTATCCTTGCCTGGTAAGGATGAGGCCCTGAATTCAACCTTAATACCGGATAAACCAGGCCTGGTTGAACATGCCTGCTAGCCTACCACTTGGGACATATCCTAGCATATACATCTAAGAGCCTTATGGTTAGTACCCAAATATGGTGGGAGTGATAGGCCCAGGGTACCCCAGTAGATAGTGAACTAACCAGGAACTTTGACTTACTGCTGGTTAAACAAATCACCAAATTAGAACGGTTTCTCCCCGTATTTCAAGGATATACTTTTTTATAAAGAAAGCAAACATATTCAATAAATTCACCACAATTTAAAAAAAAAAAAAAAAGAAGAAAAAGATAAACTGTTTCTTATTTTTTTGGCTCCCACATACCAGTAAACATTAGCAGCTCAATACATGTTTTCTGAATGAAGGAGTGAATTAAGTAATTAGAGAAAAAATAAAATGAGCAATCATTGGTTGGTCTCATAGCACGGGATTAGAGTAGAGGAAATTAATATGACTGTGGCGTGTAGAGGGACAAATGTAGAGAAAGTGTGTCACTAAGGTGCCTTAGGTGCCAATCACATCAGAGCCAAGCTCAGGTGTCAGGTCTTGACCCAAGCACTGGGCCTTCTCAGGTCAATGTGACCTGAACTACGTCTCCTGACACCTTTCTGAAAGAACACAGAAAAAAAAAAAAAACAAAAAAAACAAAAACAGGTGCTGGAGAGATGGCTCTTTGGTAAAGAGCACTGGCTGCTCTTCCAGGGAGCCTGGTTCCGTTCTCAGCACCCACAAGGCAGCTCACAACCATTAGCAACTCCAGTTCCAAGAAGAACTGTCACCTTCTTTTCACCTCTGAGGGCATCTGGCATGCACACAGTACACGGGCAAAACACCTATACCCATGAAAGTTAAAAAAAAAAAAAAAAAAGAGGGGTTGGGGATTTAGCTCAGTGATAGAGCACTTGCCTAGCAAGCACAAGGCCCTGGGTTCTGTCCTAAGCTCTGGATAACCAAACCAAAACAACAACAACAACAAAACTACATTTAGGGCTGGAGAGATGGCTCAGAGATTAGGAGCACTGGCTGTTTTTCCAAAGGTCCTGAGGTCAATTCCCAGCAACCACATGGTGGTTCACAGCCACCTATAATGAGATCTGGTGCCCTCTTCTGGTGTGTAGGCATACATGCAGGCAGAGTATTGTATAAATAATAAATAAATCTTTAAAAAGAAAAGAAAAGAAAAAGGAAAAAGTGTGGGTTGGTTTTTCAGCAGTCATCTACTTATTCCACATGTTTCCAGCCTGGTCTACAGGCTACACAGAGAAACCTTGTCTTGAAAAACAAAACAAAACAACAAAAACCCAAGTAGTAAGGGATATAAATTTAGATGATCATACCACTCAAACTCATTCTTACACACACACACACACACACACACACACACACACACACACACACACTCTGCTGTCTTTTCTCCTTTGAGTCAGGATCTTGATATGTTGCCCAGCTTGTAACACAATTCCTAGACCATCTTTTTCTAAATATGTTATTTTTATTATTTATTTGTGTGTATGTGCATTCATTTGCAATGTGCTCATGAATGCAGGTGCCCACTGAGGCCAGAAGAGGGCTTTCTGATGCTCTAAAACTGGAGTTACAAGCAGTTGTAAGCTGCCAGACATGGTAAGGAGAATCCAACTCTTGTCCTCTGAAAGGGCAGCAACTGCTCCGCTACTTTGTCTGCAGACACTGGGCTGCTTCTGAGTAGCATTGATATAAGTACATGCTACTATGTCCAGTTTATACTCTCTCTTTAGCCAGAAGTCAGGTTGGCATTAGAGCTTCCAGAATCTTGCAGGCAAGTAATAGAATCTAGTTTGAGAGCTTACAAGGTCAAAGACCAGGTCACTCTCCCTTTCAGCTTCACCCATTGGCAGACAAGTAGGTTTTTACCCTGACCGGAAAATATTCTTTTGATCTTTCAAAACGTTGACAGCCCCCTCCCTTCAGTGCTGAATCTTGTCATACATTCCTGGGAGAAAAGCAGCTGGCTTTTAGTGTTCATCCACTCTGTGCCTGGCCTTCATCCCTGAACTCATCAAATCTTCGATGTGAGCACGTTTCTTCCTCAAGACTACACAGCAGTCTGTCAACTCAGGTCTGACTGAAATCTGTCTTCTTCCCACAATGAGCATCCTTATTCTTTTTGTTTGTTTGTTTTTGTTGTTGTTGTTGTTGACAGAGGCTAGCTGGTCTCCTTAATTCTGGGGTTATATCCTTCACCGCCTATCCAGCTCACCTCCCATCCCAGGTCCAAGCATATCTTTTATCTCCAAAATAAAAACTGGCATGTCTTTCTCTTCTTAAGTAATACTGAATTTCGTTCTCTGCCTAACAGTTCACTGCCCATTCCTGCCACCTTCTCAAAACACACCAGCTTTTGATGCAGCCTAACGCTACTATCTCTTACGTGGTAACATGCAATCGACTTGCAGATCAGAAAGCACTTTCAGACACAGCGGTTATCTGTGTCCTCCACAATCGGATGAAGAGGGCATAAAGCGGGACGGGTGTGTGTGCGAGGAACTGTCCCATCTTATGAGAAAAACATCTCGCCAAGGTCACGGAATGAAAAATGAGACCTCAGGACCAAAGGCCCAGATTGGACCCTTGGTCCCCATTCATCCCGCCGCGCCTCACAGGCGGTCACCATCCAGCTACGGCCCCGCGCCAGCGATGTCACAGCTGCAGCCCGCCTGCCCACAGCTCACCACCCTCCCACTCTCGCCGGCACCAGACCTCCCTCCGACCTGCTGACCTCCCGGCTCCTTTCTTCATCAGACCCTTCACCCACCGACTTCCCACCTCTACTCAGGAGCCTCCTCTCTGGCCTCAAGTGGCCTTCCCAGACTCTAGTGGCGTCCCGCCGCTTCGCCACCTCAAGCCTCCCCTCCTGTCAGTCCGCCGGGTTACCTTCTCCAAGGATGCAGGTCTCTGCACAGCCAGGGAGCGGGCCAGTGAAAGCACTGTGTTGAAATAAAAGCCTCGGGAGGTGCTGGAGCCAGAGCCGGACCCCGAGCCGCCTCCGCCGCTTCCACGGGCCCCGGCAGCCGCCATCACAGCGCGCGCCCGGGGGCAGGCGGCTGGGTTCGCAGCTCTGGGCCTGCCGCGGGCCTCACGGCGCAGGCGCAGAGGGCAGCCGGCTTCCCGGCCACGTGACCTCCTCGCAGCCGGCGCTGGGTGGTGGCTGGCGTGAGGCCGCCCCCGCGCAGAAGCCCGGCTCCCCCTCCGCCGCCCTGGACGGTGGTTGGCTCCGGAGCCGGTTCTGCCTGCGCGGTGCTGGCGGAAGTAGAGCGCGACGGCCGCAGGAGTCCGCCCGCCGGCGCTGGGCTACCGACCCTTGGCCCGGCCGCCGCTCCGGCTTCCTCGGTCCAGGACGTCGTTGGCACCATGGCCGGCTACCCTAAAAGCTATAATCCTTTCGACGAGGACGCGGAAGACGAGGACAGCCGGCCGGTGCCGTGGAAGGACGCCCGCGACCTGTCCAGCGGGTCCGAGGCTCCCATGGACCGGCAGCAGTACCTGAGACAGGAGGTGCTGCGTAGGGCCGAGGCTACGGCCACCAGCACCAGCAGGTCCTTGTCTCTCATGTATGAATCGGAGAAGGTCGGAGTCGCCACTTCTGAGGTGAGCCTGGGGCAGAGCCGAGCTGAACTGGCCAATCCTTGCATTATAAAACGAGATAGGAAATGTTTTGTTCACGTTCTTTTGGGATCTTTCTAACTGCCTACCATGGGTTCTTGGACTTTCTGTAAAGAATTATGTATCTGGAGCGCTTGAAGAAGCTACCTCGGGAAGTTTCCTTACCTGTTCTGCGTAGTAGATTCCCCCACCCCTCGTCCTGCTCCCATGTCTAGTTAAAAGGTAAACTCCAAGTTATGTTCTGTCTGGGGGTCAGAACTGAGAGTAAAAATGCCAAAGTGCAGGCCTGTATTACAGAAGCCTTAGGCTATTCCTCCCTGGTGACCGGGTTAAAGTGTGAGCTGTGCCAGGTGATGCCTGAAGTACTAATGCCAAGGAAGCCTTGCGTCCTTCTCACAGCCTTGACCACCTCTCACCATGCTACTGGTAATACTCAAGTCCCTTTGACTGAACTCTTGTCCTGGAAGCCAGATCTTGAATTGAGTGTAGACCCTTACCATTGTACGTAATGTGAGGTTGTGACAATCAGCCCTTTTTGTCCATAGGAAATTTCAGGAACTAGGAACTTTGCCTCGTATCTGTGTGTATGCACACGTGTGGGGGGGTCCCCTGAAGTCGGAAGAGGGCACCAGCTGAAAGCTACCCAGTGTGGATGCTGGGCACTGAGCTGGTCTTCTGAAACCTCTTAAGATCTTTTCTTTTGGGGGAGTTGTGGTTTGCTAGACAGTCTGCTTATGAAACTTAGGCTGGCCTGGAATCTAGAATGGTTGGACCTCAATCTTTCTGATGTTGGGATTACAAGAAATGCACCTGCATGCCCAGCGTGGAATAAAGATTATTTCAAAACACCAGATTGTCCCCCAAGGCTACTAGTACAACAGTTGTTTTGGTATAATAATAAATTACTGAATAAGAATAATCTTAAGCAGTTTGCAGTTTTGAAATGTAATTTTTGAAACAAAGTATTGTCTTCTTCTACAAGTCTTCACAACTGATCTTTGGCAAAATTCCTTCTCTCTGACCACACAGACTTGGGCAGATCTGAGGCATTTTGATTAATTTCTCATGTTGTCATTTCTTCATTGCTGCTGTTTTGGCACTTTACCTTTTCCTACCCTTCCCTGTTATGGTATCACTGGTTGCTAATGTATGTTCTGCCTCTATGTATGTTGTACCTATGTCTTACATCTGTGTACTGGATTCTTAATGTTAAAAGTCCAGATGAGTCCTTAGGGCCTTGGTGAAAAGGTCACTGTTTTGAGATAAGGTCTCACAGTGTAGCCCAGTGTACCCCAGATTGGCCTTGAACTCAAGATCCTACTGCTTCAGCCTCCAGAGTGCTGAGATCATGGACATGTACCAGATGCAAATATAAATAGGTAGGTCTTCTTGAGGAGCAGGAATTAGTCTGACCTACTGAATCATCTCTCTAGCCCCAAAAGAGAATTTTTTTTGTTATTGTTTTTTTTTTTTTGTTATTTTTTTTTTTTCCATAGTATCATTATGTAAACTTGACTGTCCTCGGAATTTTATGTTGTCTAGGCTGGCCTCAAACTCAGAAATACACTGCCTTTGTTCCTGGGAATGCTGAGGTGTGTGCCACCAGCACTTCTATTCTTCTATTCTTTTTAACTTTAAGGTGAGGTATTCTTTACATATAGACCTGTATATTAGTAGTGTTGAAGGTTATTTCGTAGTTAAATACAATGAGGTGTTTTGGTGGGGGAGGGGAAAGCAGGCTAATGACTATACATTGTAGTCCATTAAATAGGTGACTTCTGTTTATGCAGCCAATCTCCTAATAATAAACATTATAATATTTGCTTCCTACATGGACATGATCACTGGCCAAAGCCACTCACCCTCCCAGGACACTCTGCCTTCTGGAGGAGTGTGGCATACTACAGTGAATTTTTTTTTTTTTTTTTTTTTTTTGTCGCCTGGTTTCTCAGTTCAGCAGAGACCAGCAATGAACAGTAATTCCAATGTCTGTTGCACAACACCAGAGAAAGGGGTTGGTGTTTGGTAAGATTGACATGTAATGTGTTCAGCTACTTTGACTAGCATGCACTCCCCAGAGGCCTCCTCATCTTTATAGCTTTCCAGTTCCTGTTACTAGGCCACCTAATAACCAGTTTGTGTTTCTGAATCTAGTCGGGTGATCTCACCACATTTGCTCACCACACTTGCCAAGTCCCACACTTGCTCAGTTATATCAGCTAGAATCTGTTAGTGTGGGTGTGTATTACTTTGGGAGAGGAAAGAAAATGAGAAGTTTCTTTTTCTTTTTTATTTTATTTTTTTTCTCTGAAATAGGACTTTGTATTGCCCAGGCTAACCTCAGTCTTGCTGATAAGCATGAGTTCACCTCCAGCTGGGATACTACACCTGTGCCACCGCACCTGGCTTATCCCCAGTCTAGGATAATACATTTCAGATTTCTGGATTTGATGCATTGACCCCAGACTGACATCCATGTACTTATCAGTTAATAGTGATGTTACAGCTGTAGATTGTGCTGGTGATTCAGGGGTCACTGCTACCCTTGGGAGACTTCCACATCATGCTGGGTCTTAAAGGGTCCTATCCACCCCTCCACAAAGTTCCACTTCCCATCAGTTACCCCAGCTTCTTAGACTCTCGTCAACTCAGGCTTTTACCCTATCACACTCTTGGGACTCCCTGACACACCCCTTAAAACCCTTGCCAGGAGTTCACTGTGACAAAGACACAATCATGTATGTGATGACTTTTATTGTTATCCTATGAAACAGAGCTCAGTGACACAAGGATGTGTCTGCCTTCCTCAGTTCTCAGCACCTCAGTGTTGTTAGCAAGTTAGAAAATCAGATTGAACTTGCTCTTAACCCTGCATATGGATTATATGAGCCCTCAGGAGTCTGGGCCTGGTTAGTCCCCACTTGATGGCTAGCACTAGAAGAATGGTTGGTAGAGAGTGAGTTCTCGTGAGTATCTTGGAGAAAGTCCCACAGACCCTTCCATGCTCCACCAGCAAGATCCCTTTGATTCTCTGAATCCTCACAGTGCCCCGAACATAACCCATATAGGTGAGTGTTACCTCACTTCAGGCAGTCTGTGCCCTTGCATGGTCTTTGTTGCCCTGACTTCCACTTCCCCTTGCTCTTAGGAGTCATTCACAGAAAAGAGGAATTGAGGAACTTTCTTTGTGGTTCCTTAGCAACCCATGCATATCCTCTCCTTTCTTTTTTCTGTATAAATTTAGACAACACTTGGGGCTTAAAGCAGTTGGGGAGATCACCTGTAATCATCTCATAGTCACTTGGCGTGTGCATTCTTAACATGGAAGGTAGGGTCTCGTGTAGCTCCCACTGACCTCCAACTCTGTACCTGAGGATGACCCTGGACTCCCAAGAGCTGGGATTACAGGCATTTCCCACCGCCCCCAGTTTACAGAGTGCTGGACTGAGACCCCAGCATCATGTATGCTGGGCAAGCACCCTGGCCATCTGAGCCATATTCCTCATCCAGGAGTTTACACCCCTCATAGCTGCCCTGGCCTCATTCTCACAGAGGCAGATGGAAAGGTCAACAGTGTCCACTTCTAAGCTATGGGAGCCTATATCCAAACCCAGAGCCTCTGAGGTCTGTCAATTAAGATTCCTTCTTCCCAGATATGTCTAGATATATGTCAGCCTGACAAAAACTAACCTGCACAGAGAGCTAAAATGAAAGAAAACAAAATGAAGAGTCCTCCTTTTTAAAAGGATGGATGATCAAGGCCCAGCATGGTGTCAGGTAATCCCAGCACTCAGGTGGTAGTGGCAGGTAAGTCTCTGTAAGTTCAAGGCCATCTTGGGTCAATTAGTGAATTAGTAGATTCCATGCCATCAAGGGATATAACCTGTCTCAAGAGCCTGTAGCAACAACAACAAAAAAAAAGATTAGTGATCAATGGAGGACTCAAGTAAATTCAGTCCTGTACAAGAAAGTTATGAAGTCAATTCAAGATATAAAGTTACTTAAAAATTTATAAATGTGGAGGAAAAGTTCAGCAAGTCACTGAAATCCAAGCAAAATTCTGGAAATGAAAATCAATCAATGAAAATGAAAAAACAAAACAAAACAAAACAAAAACAGAATTACCAAACCAGGCACAGTGACACCTGTAGTCCTGGTACCCAGGGAGACAGAGGCAGATGGATCTTTGTGAGTTCAAGGACAGCCTGGGCTACAAAGCTAGTCTAGGAGACGCAAGGCTACAGAGAGAAACCCTGTCTCGGAAGGGAAAAAGAAAACCAAACCAAAACAAAAAGCAGTATGACCAATAAACAAGACCAAGCTGAAGAACAAACTCAGATGTGGAAGGCAAGTTTGAGGCAGTAAAATGCAGACTTGTGTCAAAACAAAAAACTAGTGAGTGTAACCCAAACTTCCAAGAACTCTGGGATTCATTCAAGAAACCAGACCCAAAACCATAAGATAGAAGGAGCTAAGATAAAAATGAAATGACTTGGACTACTTAAGGAATATCACCAAGAATTTCTCAGACCTAGTAAAAGAAATAGATATCCAAACACAGGAAGCATTTAGAACCTCATCATAGGCATGACCAGAGAAGGTCCTTCCCATAGTCAAGATGTCAGAAACACAAAGCAAAGAAATAATACTAAAATCTCTAAGGCAAGCTGCCTTCTAACACACAAGAAGCAGAACCACACCAGATCTGTTGGCAGCAACCTTAAAGGCCAAGAAAGCATGGAATAATAGGTTCCAAGCCCTGAAAGTAAATAACCATAACCAGGATTGCTGTATCCAGCAAAATTAACTATTAAAGTAGAGAAATGTTTCAATACAAGATAAGGTAATGCATGTCAACTAAGTCAACACTTAGTGTTGTACACTGAGGAGAAAGACAGTTTCACACAAAAGAGCACAGGGAAAAAGACATTTCATGTAATGAACACATGAACAGAGGAAAACTGAGAATTAATCATGTCCAATAC